GCTTAGGAATTCTTGCTATGGGGAGAACAGCAAGTGACCTCTTCTGCCAGTGTCCGTGCCTGGCCAGTAGGCTGGGAGCTGCTGTGAGTGGCCACATAGGAGCCTTCTACAGTAGCCCAGGTGGACGATGCTGGTCTAAGCCATGACCCTGATGGTATAATTGGGCATGCGTGTAATCTAGCATGGACGGGGATGGAAACACAGACCAATAGTTTGAATTAAACTGCGAGTCGAAAAGGAACCCATCTGAGTTGCACAAGTCAAGAATGAAGTGGTTTCAAATAACCGAATGTCAGACTGCCTGAATAAAGGAAAGTTAGAAGGTTTGCTTTTAGGAGGAGCATACATATTCATTGAGTTTTGGGGGCGTTCTGGGAAAGGTTATGCATATTCAAAACGGAGCTGGTGCACATGCCCACTAGGAAAGCCTGCGTGTCATACACGTTCCACATTCAGTTGTGGGTGGAGCTTGGACGTGACGATGAGGGGGTTGGCTGTTTCCCTCAGGAAGGGCGAGAGTGGGCTCTCAGCTTGAGCTTCTCCTCCAGCGGGACCAAGACTTGCAAACCTTTAAAAGCATGGTCAGCTGCTGAGCTGGTTTTTCATCCAATCAGCGGTCTCACCCCTGCCCGCAAGGACACCTGGTTACCCTCAACGCTGGCTCAGTCAAGGTGAGGTGATTACCTTTAAGAGAGGGTTATTAATAGCCGCAACAGGGAGTAGCTCACGCTGATGGAAGACTGACTTTGAGCCGGTCTTGATGCCAAGGATCTGGCCTTGTTCTGCAAATGCCAGTCTTCAGTGGACAAACCTAGCTTGTGGCCCAGGAGAGTGGGTGTCCAGGGGCATGATTTTTTTTGCCAAGATCACATTGCTAGGCTGTAGCAGGGTCTGTGTAAATCCAGAAGGCAGGCCCTTGGAGAGGGGTGAGGGTGGGAGCCAAGGTTTAGGTGGTAGCGTCAACTCTGACTGATCATTCATCATATTTGGGGGTGTCGGGGATGAGCTCCTGGTTCAGTTGCTGAGGAGGGGGATGTCTTGATACCATTTTTAAAACATAAATATTTATTTTACTTGAATGTCAGATTTAGACAGAGTGAGAGAGAGGGAGAGATCGTCAATCCATTGGTTCATCCCCCAAGTGGCCACAACAGCTAGAGCAGGTCTGATCCAAAGCCCAGAGCCTGCAGACTCCTCTGAGTCTCCCACACCGGTGCAGGATCCCAAAGCTTTAGGCCATTCTCCACTGCCTTCCCAGGCCATAAACAAGGAGCTGGATGGGAAGTGCGGTGGTCAGGACATGAACAGGAACCCAAATGAAATGCCAGCAACAGAGCAGGAAAATTAGTTTGCTTGCTACTGTGCCAGCCCATTGATGCTATCCCTCCGTGGGAGGAATACAATGACCCTCGTGTCTGGTGTGGCAGGCATTGGCTGTGGCAGATGGGTAAAGAGAAGCTGTGACTGTCTGCGGAGTGAGGAGTGGGTTGTGGGGGTAGGGCAGAGGGACACGCTCATTGTCCAGGGAATTTGGGACTTGTCAGTTATGGAGCTGTATCGCTTTTCGGCCTCTTGGCTAAGATCAAGTGCAGTTATGGAGCTGCGGGAACACAGGGCAACGGGCCCAACCTTGTGGTGTAGTGAGCTAAGCTTCTGCCTGCAGCACTGGAGTCCTGTATTGAAACACAGGTTCAGGTCCCGGCTGCTGCACTTCTGACCCAGTTTTGTACTAATAATGCCCCTGAGAAGGCAGCAGAAAATGACCCAAATGCTTGGGTCTCCACCACCCAAATGAGAGAACAGGATGGACTTCCTGGCTTCTGGCTGTATTCAGCCTGGCTCAGCCAGGACCACTATATGGGGAAGGACTCAGTGAATGGAAGAGATCTCTCTCTGTTCTTTGTTCTCACTCTGCCTTTCCAATAAATGAAATAAAGAGTCATTAATAATAATAATGATAATGTAGGTCATGCACACCCCCAGGTCTGTTGAGAAAGCCGCGGGGGGCCCATGCAATGCCCTTGGCAGGGCCGTGCAGGGAGAGGAGCCTCAGGGCGCAGGACCAGCAGACCGCAGAGACCATAGGATTCCCAAAGAGATTTCTGCCTGCAAGGTGACAGGCGGGCATGACCCAGAACCGTACTGGGAGGTCTTGTGCTTTTGGCTTGTGTAACAGAAGCCTGTATTGGAGGAAAAAGAGGGTCTGGAGGGGGTGTCCCAGAAAAGTGGTATATTGGAGAAGACATGCTGCAGCCCCTGATGGGGAGACAGTCACCTCCTCGCCTGCGCGAGGCCTCCTTGTGTCTAGGAAGAGCACCTCTTTGTCATTGTGTCCTGGGCCCCCAGCTTTGCCTTGCTCTATTAAAGGCAGCTGCCTCCATGGCTCACTAAGCACCACATAGAGCCAGATCCTGGCTGAGGTCTCCGAGGCTTGGAGACCGGGTGCTGCTGCTGCTGCTGGCAACAAATCCCCGGGAAGAAGTGTGGCCCTCTGGTCTACTAGAATTCCCCTCCCCCTCCCTTACAATGCCAAGTCAGAACTCAGAGGAGGAGGACCTAGCACAGCCTGGGGAGGAAGGCTCTGATTGCTGGGTTAGGAATGCTCCACTTCCATGAAGGAGTCGGGGGCCTGGGGTAGATTTCCATGGCTGCAAAGCGGCCATTGACTGTGGAAATCAAAGAAAGGAGACAAGGGCCGAAGAGCAAACCACGTACCTGTTGAACTGGTCATTGCTTGGGTCTGGCATGCGTGGCATGATGGTGTGGCATGTTGAGCCCCTGTCTGCAACAGCAGCACCCCATATGTACACCAGTTCAAGACCCTGCTGCTCCATTTCCAATCCAGCGCCCTGCTAATGTGCCTAGGAACCCAAAGCTTAGCCCAGGCCTCGCCACTGAAACCATCTGGGATTGAAACAAGAAATGGAAAATCTCTTTCTCTCACTCTCTCTGTAACTCTGACCTTCAATTAAAAATAAATAAAAATTTTTTAAGAAATGAAAGGTTTTCTTTAAGATTTGTTTATTTTTATTGGAAAGCCAGATTTACAGAGAGGAGGAGAGACTGGAAGATTTTCCGTCCAATGATTCACTCCCCAAGTGACCACAACAGCCGGTGCTGCACCAATCTCAAGCTAGGAGCCAGGAGCTTCTTCCGGGTCTCCCACGCAGGTGCAGGGTCTCAAGGCTTTGGGCCGTCCTCTTGTGCTTTCCCAGGCCACAAGCAGGGAGCTGGATGGGAAGTAGGGCTGCCAGGATTAGAACCAGCGCCCATATGGGATCCCAGGTGTGCAAGACGAGGACTTTAACCACTATACTATCACGCCAGGCCCAAGAAATGAAAATAATTTTTTTAAATTCAAGAACAACTCTTTCAAATTCTACATTGCTCTTTTTTTCTTCTTGAACTTGTAGATCGGCACCCATATGCCATCCTCACCTGCTTTCCCAGGCCACAAGCAGGGAGCTGGATGGGAAGTAGAATAGCCAGGACAGGAACTGGTGCTCATATGGGATCCTGGCACCCACAAGGCAAGGGTTTAACCACTGAACCTCGATGCCAGGCCCCAATAATGACTATTGTTTTAGTATGCTAAAACATGTTCCCAATTTTGCTTTTCAGAAATATCTGGGCAATTTAAGTTCCAACCATCAGCACAGCACAGGGCGAGGCTCTCTTCCTTTCATGTCCACTCAGCTTTAACTATATAGTTCTGCTCATAATAGTCTGTTTATCGGGGCCTGGCACGGTGGTCTAGAGGCTAAAGTCCTCGCCTCGCATGCACCAGAATCTAAATGGACACCAAGTTTTAATCCTGGTGGCCCCATTTCCCATTCAGCTCCCTGCTTGTGGCCTGGCAAAGCAATTGAGAACACCCCAAAGCCTTGGGACCCTGCAACTGCATTTGAGACCCAGAAGAAGCTCCTTCTTCAGATTGGCTCAGCTCCGACTATTGCGTCCACTTGAGTGAACCAGCAGAAAAAACAATTTTCTCTGTCTCTCCTTCTCTCTATAGATCTGCCTTCCAGTGAAAATAAATAAATCTTTTTTTAAAAAAAATAAGAATTGCTTGAAATTCTTCCCATTATTTTGCCTGCTTTCCTTAATGTGTGGTTATCAGTTGTTTGCCAAATATACTGACTTTTCTTTAGTAATTTTTTTTTATCTTTTAAGCTTATCAAATCCATCCTCCCATAAAAAGGTTTTCTTTTAAAAAAAAGATTTATTTATTTATGCAGTTGACAGAAGGCCAGAGACACACAAAGAGGGAGCACAGAGGGCTAGATCTTTTTCTTCCACTGGTTCACTCCTGAAGCTCCCGTAACAGCCAGATCTGGGCCAGGCCCAAGCCAGGAACCAGGGGCTCCATCTGGGTGTCACACATGGGTGGCAGGGGCCCAAGGCCGTGAATCATCCCTGGCTGCCTTCCCTGGCACATAAACAGGGAGCTGGATTGGAACTGGAGCAGCTGAGACTTAATCAGGCATTCTAGCATCACAGCGGTGACTTTAACCGTTGTACCATAATGCCAGCTCCCACACCTTTTCACATTTTTTTCTAAAACATTTTTTTAAATTTGTATTTTTCTTTGATTAACAGACAAAGATTGAGGGGAATAGACAGATGCAGAAAGAGAGAGTTCTTACCGACTTGTTCACACCTCAAATGCCCAACTGGGCCACAACTAGATTCCTAAGCTAAACGTTTCCTCCAGGTCTCCCCTGTGGGTGACAGGGACCTGCCTAGCTGAGTCACCACCCACTGCCTCCCAGGAAGCCAGAGACAGGAGCCAGAGTTGGGAATCAAGACCAGGTTCTCTGACATGGGATGCAAACCTCGAATCCCAAGGGACTACTCAGAGGGCTTGTTCACAAATAGAGTGCATACTTAAGGACCATCTCTTTCAATGGTGTGCTCAGGGACTGCCTGCTCCCTCTGTTTGTTTCCTAGGACCCAGCGTGTTCCCTGCCAACCCTTCCGGAAGGATCTCTCTTGAACAAATGGAGGAGGACACTGGGGAGGAACCAGGACTGGACAGCCGCCCTGCCCCCACGGACTTCCACTTTTATCACATGGATCTGTATGACCCTGACAACAGGCTGCTGCTCCTCCCGGAAGAAAGTCCTGGCATGAGGAGAGAAGTGATCCAAGCCGAGCGAACCTTCGAGGCCAGAGGGGCAAGGGAGGGGCAGACCCACAGGCATCTGTACCAGGAAGCGGATGAGTTGGTCCATCTCTATGGTCTTGAAGATGACCATGAATTAGGGGATGAGATTATTGATGGAAACGTGCCCAGGATGGGAATTGAAGAATATCCTCCTTACGGGGTGAAGGAGGGAGACCCAGCCTGGGAGCAGCAGGACTGGCGTCTTGGTGAAGAGGTGGCTGAGGCAGGGGACCTGGGCTTTGGAGGGTGGGGCTCCAGGGGCCAGTGCCAAGACCTGCGGGAAGCCTATCAGTACAGTCATGGCCGCGCCAGTGAGGAGTATGAATGCTACGTGATCCCGGAGGAGGAGGATGAGGAAGAAGCTGCTGATGTCTTCTGCGTCACTTGCAAAACTCCGGTAAGAGCTGCTGAGGACCTTGTCGTGCACAAGGAACACGAAGTGACCCCGCTCAACCAAGCCCTGGAAAGCGCCAAGGTATAGAGCCTCTTCGGTCCTTCCTCTTTGTCGTGGTCTTGCCTTTTTTTGTGACTTAGGCACATTGGCATGAAATCAATCTCAAAAACGCGCTCTCCGAAAGACAGAAAAAGGGCGACTATTAACACCTTCTTTGTGATCCTCTGTTGGCTAGGATGAAATTCACAAGAACATGTACAAATTGGAAAAGCAGATCATTGACATGGAAAATTTCGCAAGTCACTTGGAGGAGGTCTTCATCACTGTGGAGGTAAGAACTTGGGGAGCCCATCAAGTGCTTGGGGCTTAGTGCCTGCGTCCAGCAGCTGACTCCAGCAGGAGTGGGAGAATTCTGTTGTTTTTAGGATGTGAAGTGTTGGCGCTGGCCCTCTTCCCCACCCCTGCCTTATCCCATCTCAACCCTGGGCAGGATCTTGAACAGCAGGATTTTAAACACGATTGCTGCATGCATAAATGAGGCAGAAACTTTGCAACCGTTCTTCTTCCCTTTAACTGACCCCCTTGTTCACCCAAATTGCCAGTTGTACATGGTTTAGGCCGTCTCTGAACAAAGGTGGTTTCATGGTGATTCAATCAGGGGAGCTCCTCATTTGAGTTCTGGTGATGTAGAGATAAGGAGTTTTGAATATTTGGTTATTTGTCTTTTCACTTGCATTGGTTCTCACCCATCCCCCTGACCCCAGCATGGGTTAAAAAAAATGAGTGCATGTGTTGTCTTTGTTCAGTTAAAGATTTCTAGACTTTCTCAAGAGGTCAGTAAGAATCTAGACTTGCAAGCTCAGAAGGTCTCTCTCCCTCCACATCCCAACAAAAGAAAGAACTCATGAAGATTCTTGACCCAGAGACCAATGATAGCGAGCTCAAAGGTGTTTCTGGGCCTTCTTTCTGGTATTCCCAGAGCTGCTCAGGAAGCATCAGTCTCGTGGGCCAGTGTTGGGGAAGTTCTGAGATGCCCATCCTCTGGCACAGCTGTTCCCTACTTCTCGTGGGAATAATAATAATAATAATAATAAGCTTCCATGACTGTTGTCTTGTGTGTGTCCTATTAAGCATAGTGTAGTCTGCCCCCTCACCCTTCCAGAGGGACTGGGACCTTCCAGGTGGACTGGGACCAAGGACTGTAGGACCTTCCTTCTTCCTTCTGTTCTTTGCTACTATGAATGCAGCCTCAGATGGTACAGTGGTGGTGGGGGTGGGGATCTCATCTGTGTTAAAAGTCCCAGGCTCCTCTCCCATGAAGCCAGCCCTCCTTCGTCCCCATGAAGAAGAGCAGCCAAGCGCTTAGCCTTGTAGTTGACACATGTGCATCCCGCCTTGGAATGCCTGGGTTAACTCCTGACTCCAGCTTCCTGCTAATGCAGATGCTGGGAGGCAGCAGGTGATGGCTCAAGTCACCCCCAAGAGGACACCTGAGCGGAGTTCCTGGTCCATGGCTTTTGGCCTGGCTATTGCAAGCACTGTGGGTGGTGAGGGGAAGGGGGGGAACTATTTGGTTAGAACTCTTCATCTATTTGCCTTCTCTAATAACTAATATATATACATGCATATATGAAAGATGAGAGCTACAGAACTAAACGTTAGTGGGAGGTACACAGAAGGTCCCTGCTCTTCCCCTTCCAAGCCCACAGGCACAGTGGGAGAGGGCAGCGTGCAGCAGTCAATACAGAATTCCCTGCCCTCGGTTCTGCCAGCTTACGCTCAGCTTACCTCTCCTGCATCCCCAGTGGGTGCTCTGAGCGGACTGTTGGTACTCAACACTGGGGAGTCGTTGATAGCTCTTCCCTCTCTTCCACCATTCCTATGAGCACAGCAGATGCCCGGGAACTGTCCTTAGAATGACTGATAAACACCTCTTCATGGGAAATGCCCCCAGCATCCGGTGACGTGAATGACACTAGTTAGAACCCACAGAATTCTCCAGGGAAACGGAGCCGTGATGATCTCCTTCCTGTCTTGCCTCCCCAGGACTCCTGGGTTAAGAGGAACAAAACTCTTACTTCTCTGCCTTCTATCTCCCTGCATTTCTGTCACCTGTTAGCCACCTGGCCATAGTCCTTGATCCCCTTAGTCCCTCCTCCCCACCCCCTCACTGCTGTGACCCTAATTGGTTTGGGTGGTGCTTGTCTGATTCAGGCACCAGAGAATGCAAATGAGCATCGTGATGTTGGGAGTTTGGGGGAAAACATTTCTGCCTTTAGATCCAGTGCCTCTAGGTCCAGGCTGACTCATCATTAACTAACTCCCTGGTCTGTTGCCATGGTGACAGGAGGTGGTTAAAAATAGTGTGGGGGTAGGGCTGTGGAGACAGAAAGCAGTGCATTTTGTTGGGGTCATCCGTGGTGGTCCAGCTGGAGACCCCTGTGTCCTGACTTCCCCAGGGCCCATCCTCCCTGCCCCATCCCTGTCCATCATCCTGGCAAGAATATAAAAGACAAAGTCAGGGAACAGAAGCAGCTCAGAGTGGATCCTTCCCAGGCACCCTGAAAGAAGGGTGACCAGAGCCAATTGTTTTGCAGGAGAATTTTGGAAGACAAGAACAAAACTTTGAGTCCCATTACAATGAGATCTTGGAAACACTTGCCCAAAAATACGAAGAAAAAATCCAAGCTCTGGGACAGAAAAAGAAAGAGAAGCTGGAGTCTTTGTACGGGCAGCTGGTCAGCTGCGGGGAGAACCTGGACACGTGCAGGGAGCTGATGGAGACCATAGAGGAGATGTGTCATGAGGAGAAGACTGAGTTCATCAAGGTTAGTGCCAAAGGCAGGGGAGTCCTCATGTCTAGGGACTCGGGCTCCATCTGCCCGTCATGGGTGAAGTAGAGCCCGTCTTTGCCCCTCTGTCCTTGATTCTCAGAGACCTGTCCCCTTGGTGTCCTGAGAGCTGTCTGGCCACTTCTAATGACTCTGGGGGCTCTGAAAAAAAAAAAATTGCCCAAGCTCTAAAATCACCTTAGATTTTCTAGTGACCAGGATATGAATGATAAATTTACTTCATCATCTGATAATGCACCCCTCAAAATCCATTTCTCAGGACAGGCATTTGGTTACACCTACATCCCGTACTGGAGTGGCTGATTCAGGTTCAGGCATGTCTGCTTCTGATCCAGCTACCTGTGACTGTGCACCCTGGAAAATAGAGCTGCTGGCCCAACTTCTGGGGTCCCTGCCACCCGTGAGGGAGACCTGGATTGAGTTCTAGCTTCAGAGGGGCCCAGCTCCAGCTATTTTGGGGATGTGGGACGGGAGATAGGGAATAGGATATATGATCTCTCTCTCTCTCTCTCTCTCTCTCTGGCTTTCATTTGAACAAATATGCTTAACAAATGAAATCAGGGGCTTGTGTTGTGGTGTAGCCAGTAAAGCTACTACTCAGGACAATGACATCCCATATGGGTGCCTCTTAGAGTTCTGGCTGCTCCACTTTTGATCCAGTTCCCTGCTAATGGCCCAAGTGCTTGGGTCCCTGCACCCACGTCCTGTACCTGAGAAACACCTGCCGCTGACCTTCGACAGGCCCGGCTGAGGCCATTTGGAAAGTGACTCAGCAGATGGAAGATGTCCCTCTGTCTTTATCTCTCCCACTCTCTTTGAAACTCTACCTTTCAGATAAATAAGTAAAGTCTTCAAAAGAAAAACGAAATCAAATTCAGTAGGGCTCAAGCTCCACCCCAGCTAGGCTGTGGAAATTTCCATTTTGGGCAGAGCCGAGTCTTCTCTTCACAAAACCCCATGGGGACATGGAGCGGATGTGGTGTCCCATACAGGGGCCAGATATGCAGCCTTCACATGTTCCCTCATGCCTGAGTGTGGGCCCCGCATGACCCAACGCCTCCAGCATTCCCTTCCTTCCTGTGTGGAGCACAGGAGGCCCAGGGCTGGAGAACTGGGAGGGCCATGAACCTCAGGGTGACTGGGTCATGAAGTCAGAATGCAGACGGCAGGGAAAGTGACACCATCCATGGTTTTAAAAACTGCAAAACAGCCAGCCAGAGAGAAGCCAGTATGACACAGAGGACCTTCCCTCTGGGTGTCTGCCTCTGCCATCCACAGCCCCAAAACACAGTTTATAACACCTTGCAACAGCAGGGAACCTAGTTTCTGCCAGGGGCCATTTTGCCTATTTTTAATAGCATTTGCTAAAGGTAAGAAAGTCTCAACTTAAAAAGTAGTCAGGGGCCCGGCGTGATGGCCTTGCATGTCCGGGATCCCATATGGGCGCCGGTTCTAATCCCGGCAGTCCCATTTCCCATCCAGCTCCCTGCCTATGGCCCGGGAAGGCAGTCGAGGACGGCCCAAAGCTTTGGGACCCTGCACCCGCATGGGAGACCCGGAAGAGGCTCCTGGCTTCGGATTGACTCAGCTCCAGCCGTTGTGGCCGCTTGGGGAGTGAATCATTTGACGGAAGATTTTCCACTCTGTCTCTCCTCTCTGTATATCTGCCTTTCCAATAAAAATAAAATAAATTTAAAAAAATAAATAAAAATAAAACACTGTTAAAAAAAAAAAAAAGTAGTCAGCTGTAGATGGGTTGCATGTTAGTCCCACTTGCCTCGCCAGGACCAGACCCAGTGACTTTGCATGGCCCTCGGGCAGGGTGTTCCCCGCCCCTCAATGGAAGGGGGGTGTAGGCAGAGGAAAGGCTTGCCAGGCTGTGTGAAGGCGTGCGGCGTCACTGCCCCCTGCTCCTACTTTCCGAGTTTCTTTGATTTCCCACTTTGGGAGAGAAACGCATTTCCCATACGAGTGTGACGATTTCTCTGTTTCCTCCTTAGGATGCGGTGGCTATGGCTGACAGGTAAAATGCCTTTTCTTGTCGGGGTTTTCTGCACCTTGAGGGGTTCACACAGCCTCAGCTCCCCTGATTCCAGGGCTTCCAGTTCAATGTCAGTCTCCACACCTGCGAGTCCAATAGTCCTAACCTCAGAATGATGGGGAGGGGACACAAGGACCAGCCAGCATTGGAACTCATTGTTCAGGGCAGCAAGGGACAGTGCCAGGTGAAGTCCAGCTAGCCAGCCTGGGCTCCGATGGTCTCCCTCAGCCCCTGCTCTCATCCAGCAGCACCAACGAGGCCAGCTCTGCCCGGCCCCAGGCCGAGTGGCAGCAAAACATGCATGTTTTAGAATCAGACAGACAGGGGCTCAACCCCGGCTAACCCTCAGGATCTTGGGAAAGTCTAGCCCAGCTGGAACCCCTCCTCCTTAACTGACGCACAAGGCTGGTTTTGTGATATTCAGCTAAAAGACAATGTGTATACATGCAGCAACATGAACACAGACAGTTAGCAACGTAAGGGTTGGCAAAGACAGACCCGGCTTCAAACTCTGCTGTGTGCAAAGCCTGCAACTGGCAGGAAGCAGGTGCCACATGACCCAGAGGACCCCCTCAGCAACTTGAAGGCAACTGCCCATGTGAGGAGGGAGGCCCTAGAGCCTCAGGACCAGAGGTGGTGTACAGAGGGGAACCTCCAGGTTAGCCCTGGACAGACCTTCCAGAAGGAGTTCTGGATCTCCGTGGTACATGCCCCAGACCACCCTCTGATGTGCCTCGCCCCTTCCTCCTCCCCGTCATGATTCCACGCATGCCCATCAGTTACCTCCCAAGTCCATCATTGAAGCAGGCAACGGAAGGGAGCCCAAGCACGTTCAACCACAGGAATGAAAGTCCAGCAAAGGCGCTCTCTTCCTTTGACACCAATGAGGAACACCCAGCACAGTGAGCCGAAGGAGGGGAGCCCTCTGTTTTGGTGTGTGTGTGTGTGTGTGTGTGTGTGTGTGTGTGTGTGTGTGTCTAGGAGGGTGCTGTTCCTATCTGCTAGCTCATGCCTCAAATGCTAGCAGTGGCAGAGGCCAGAGCAAGGAGCTGGAAACGCCAGCCAGCTCCCTCACCCGGGTGGCCAGGACCCAGCCACCTGAGCCACCGCCACTGCCTCCCGGGTGTGCACCAGCTAGAAGCCGGCCATGGGAACAGAACCAGGCGCTCCACTGTGCGAGGGGGTGTTCTCACAGCTAGGTCCGACACCCACCCCTGACACGCAATTTTGTACCAACAGACTCGGGAAATTCCTGAAAACCAAAACAGATGTGGAAATCTCCACGCAGCCTGACTTTGAAGAGCAGACGATGGACTTCTCAGACGTGGAAGAGCTGATGGGCTCCATCAACAGCGTCCCAGGTGCTCCTGCTGCCCACGCACGCTTCTTGGTGCTCAGCTCTCCCATAACTGGAGCAGTTTGCTTTTGTATTTTTGTGCCAAGAACACTTGACATGAGACCCAGCTCTCCTGTCCTGCCCTTCTTTCTCTCTATCCCCATGTTTAAAGGCACATGTTCCCTTGCTACTGAATATCCCATGCTGTAGAGGATGCCTCTAGGTATTATCCATCTCCAGGAACAGAATCGCCCAACTCCTCCTCTCCCCAGGGGATCACCCGGGTCTCCGTCTTCTATGCGTGTGTTTCTAAACTGCTTGGTGTTTGTCCTTCTGGGATTGGTTTATTATACCCAGCACCATATCCTCCAGGTTCATCCAGGCTCCCAAAAATGATATGACTTCCTTTTTTTTTTTAAGGCTAAATAATGATAGTCTGTGATAGATGCATAGATTTCATTTTTTTTTTATCCATTCCATTGAGGGACATTGAGGTTATTTCCAGACTGTGACTACTGAAAACACTGGAGTCTGACTATCCCTTTGAGAGCCTGATTCCAACGCTTTCGGCGTCATACCCAAAAGTGAGATTGCTGTGGTTTCCAGTTTTCTGTGGGGTCCCCACCCCGCCCTGCTGCCAACAGAATATGTAGGTTTCATTTCTCTACACTCTTACCAACACACACTCTTTGCGTTTTTTGAGGCTAGTCACTCCTGGCAGGTGTGAGGTGACATCCCATCATGCATTTCCATGGTAGTTACTGATACCAAACATTGCTTTCATATATCGAATGGGCATTTGTATGTCTTCTTGGGAGAAATGTTGATTGCAGTTCTTTGTTCATTTTCAATGAGGTCATCTGGATTCTTTCGGCTGTTTTGTTTTAGCTGTGTAAGAGTCTGATGTATTTTGGATATTAGCCCCTTTTCGGATAAAAAGTTTGAAAATATTTTCTTCCAATGTCAATAACTTTTTCCTTGTATTTTCTTCAGGAGTTTTTGCAGTTTCAGGTCCAATCTTTAGATTTTTGTACACATTTTGAGTTTATTTTTATGTCTGGCTGAACGGAGGGACCATCAAAGTGAGCCTTTTGATCATTAACTCTAGGGGCCAAATTTCTAATCCATGGGGACACACAACATGTGAATCCGACCCTAACGCTCCTCTTAGGCCCTTGGCTTCTGAGTGGCATAGCACTTGACCACAGAGAGAAGGGCGTCTGGATGCCCCAGACTCAGATCATGGGAGGGAATGGGCTCCATGTCTCGCTTCTCATCTCTGCCACCTGGGGGTCTTCCAGGGCCTGCCAGGAAGGCCACAATGAACTCCTCTAAATACAGCTGCCCTCTGTCTCAGATCACTCAACTCCAAGCTTTGAGACTTGGGATGTCTTTGCAAGCCTGGATGGAGGACAGTGCTAGCTACCTGGGAGAAAAATCACAGAGGAATTCTCCCCCTCCCCCACCAAGTGTTTGTTTTCCTTCTGGATTATGTGCAAGATGGCGTGGGGGTGGAGAGGGCAAGAGTAGAGTCTGTGAAGGCTCTTGGAAGATGGACTCTGCAGTGTGTGGCCACTCCAATCTGCCCTCATGGCAATGTGGGGGCTGCTCACAGGGACACCCCTGCAGTTAGAGCAATAGGGGGAGGTTCCTGCTGAGGCTATCTGTCTTGCTGTCTGCCCCAGGGTCTGGGAAGCTATGCCCCTCGTTGCCCAGATGGCATCAAAGTGCCAGAGGACCTGCAAGCCTGGGGCGGGGCTTGCAAACTGGAACCCAGCCTGAGTCCTCATCACTAGCACCTGCTCTCCAAATTCACATGGCAAACACGGGCAGGGGTTCCCACCTTTGTTCACACTATACGCTTCCATTCTAGGACGCCACGGATGCATGGAGCATGGGGATTGGGGTGAGTAGCCCTGGACAAGGCCACTCACTCCTCCTTCTTTCTGCTGCTGTTCCCTCTCTTTTCTGCTCTCTAGCTCCTTCCGCTCCTGTGATAAATCCCCAAGCCCCCAACTCTGCCACGGGATCCTCAGTGCGCGTGTGCTGGAGTTTGTACTCCGATGACACGGTGGAGAGCTACCAGCTGTCCTACCGGCTGGTGCAGGATGGCTTGCCCGAGAAAGGCCAAGCAGGTGAGGCTCCACCTGGGAAATGCTAACGCGCCAGTGTAGGGAGGAGGTGAAGGAGGGACCGGGCCCTGCCTTCCCAGCAGCTGGGAGCTTGGAGAAGGGGATGGGTCTGTTCCTGAAGCTTTCGTGACCTGGAAACCACTCGAAAGCTGGGAGACAGCTGAGCATGGTAGGAAGGGCTTGATGGGCAAGCTGGGACCTGACTGGGGTGGCCCATAATGCCAGGCTAGGATCAGAACCCAGCTGCGGCGTGTGCAGTACTGACCTCAAGGGGGAGCTAGTGAGCTCCCATTGCTTGTCAAGATTGCAAGGAGTTATTGGCTTAGTCTTCCTTTGCCTCAAACTTTATTATTATTTTTTCTTTTTAAAAAATATTTATTTATTTATTTATTATTTGAAAGATAGAGAAAACCGAAATGTTCTTCCTCCAATTCACTCCCCAAATGGCCACAACAGCTGGGGCTGGGCCAGGTCAAAGCCAGGTACCAGAACTCCATCTGTGCTTCGCAGGAACTCAAGTATCTGATCTGTCCTCCACTGCCTTCCCAAGTGCATTCGCAGGGCGTTGGGTCAAAAGTGGAGGAGCTGGGACTCAAAGCAGGAGATGCAGGCTCCCCAAGTGGCAGCTTAACGTGCTGCACCACAATGCCCACCCCTATTTTGTATTTCTTATAATCGTATGCACTGGTTGGACTGATCTGGTCTTAGGCCCAGGATTGCCTGGGTGGCTGGGGACTCCCCCCATGAGGCATTGCACCCTCCAGGAGGCTGGCTCAGGCGTGTTCTCATGGGAGCAGGAGCCATCTCAACAGCACAGGACCAGGTCCCAGGTGGCAGTGCTTTACAGGCCACTAAGGCCTGTGTCGTGTATGCTGCCAGCCAGTGCAAATCACATAGCTAAGCCCAAGTTCAAGGAACAGTGAGGAGGAGGGAGGGACCCTGTCATCACCAGGCTCGGTGAGGTGTCAGGGAAGGGGACACGGCACGCACATAGGGGTAGAAGGACCTGCAGCCAGTTCCACCACCGTGGCATTCCACTCAATGTATTTTGAGCCACTGGAGCTGTTTTAAAGGGTTAAAAAAATTCTAAAAGTATTTATTTAAATGGCAGAGTTACACGGAGGGAGGGAGAGACGGTGAGAGAGGTCTTTCTTCCACCTGCTAGCTCACTCCCCGGAAGGGCACAACAGCTGGAGCTGGGCCAGCCTGAAGCCAGAAACTTCTTTTCTGGCTCCCACATGCATGCAGGGGCCCAAGGACTTGGAACCATCCTGTGCTGCTTCTCCAGGCCATGAGCAGGAAGCTGGACAGGAAGTGGAACAGTCGGGACTCGGATCAGTATGCATGCAGGGTGCCGACACCAAGTAGCCTTTACTTCCTGCACCCCAGCACCTGCCCCCGGGGTTGAAGTTATTTTTTAGGAGCTCTTGTTTTCTATCATTCATAGAATTGAATTCCAATCTTTATTTCCACATCCCCTCCCCCTCCCCCACCTCCAGAATCTACAGTGACCGTCAAAGAAACATACTGCTCCGTGAAAAACCTCACACCTAACAGTCAGTACGAATTTTGGGTCACAGCTCAGAACAGGGCTGGCTCAAGCCCTGCCAGCGAGCGTGCTGTGTACGTAACAGGTAACGTGGCCACCGACCCCCTTCGCAGGGTGTTTAGTCAAGGGCACATGGCAGTCCCGGGCAGCTAAGTGTGGTGCGGCTCTTGATTCCACCTGCAAGGAAAGGAGTTGCATCATTTGCTTTCTTCCTTTAATTCACCAAATCTATATGCTTGGTAGGACAGAGACAATTTCCCCTCTTATAAAAAGTTTATTTATTTGAAAGGCGGAGTTAGAGAGAGAGCTCTTCCATCTAGTGATTCACTCCCACAGTGGCTGCAGTGGTTGCGGCTGGGCCAGGCTGAGCTAGGAGCCTGGAACTCCATCCAGGTCTCCCACATGGGTGCAGGGGCCCAAGGACCCAGGTCATCCTCCGCCCTTTTCCCAGGGGCGTTAGCAGGAAACTGAGTTGGAAATGGAACAGCTGGGACTCGAACCAACGCCCACATGGGATGCTGGCATTGCAAGGCACCACAATGCTGGCCCCGTGACAAATACATTACGTTATGGCTGGTCTCAAAATGCCAGAACTGTCACACTTGATCACACTGACACTTGAACCTTATAACTTCCTCCAGAAGGGATGCGCGAGTGCTTTAAAAACTCATTTGTCTGTGAGGCAGAGAGAACAGAGCGCTCTCCTTCATGGGCTCACTCCCCACTTGCCTGGCATGGCAGAGACTTGGGCAGGCTCAGAAGTCCTCAGCCCAGGTGCCCCAAGTGGGTAGCAGGAACCCAACCATTTGAGCCATCAATTGCTGCATTAGTCGGGAGCTGGCGGGAGAAGCCAGAGCCAGGTGCCCTGACGTGGGGCATGGGCATCTTAGCTGCTGTGGACAGAGGTAAGCGGTGGCAGTGATCGCCCGTGCCTGGAAATGAACACAGCGACTGTTCTGGTCTCCCTTTCTCCCGCGTGCAGCTCCTTCTCCCCCCATCGTAAAAGTCAAGGAGATCCGGAGCTGCGAAGAGGCTGCGCTCATTTGCTGGGAGTCTGGGAGCCTCAACCCTGTGGACTCGTATACGGTGGAGCTGACCCAGGGGGAGACGCCAGAAGCCTCGGGTGTCACTGAGTAAGTGCAGGAGACCCAGGAGAGGGTCGGAATGTGGGACCCACAGGGATGTTCATTTGTGTCAGAGGTAGCTGGGGCTGCTGCTACTGGAGGGGAAAGGTGGGTGAACAGCAAAGTGAATGGCCAGTTAAACCTTGTGGATGATTTTTTAAATTATTTTTTAGAGCCCAACGAGGGTTTCTCATTCATTCATTCACACAGGTGGTGCCAGGTCACACGGGTCATGTGTGGAGCCCTAGGGAACTAACTAACAGACAAAGCAGGCAGTCCATGGGGTAATGGCCCCAAACAAGATGAGAAGCCAGTAACAGGGAGGAATGCCCAGCAGCAGGGGGATGGACGTGGGGACCTCCTCAGGTACCCTTAGGCGATGGCAAGGCTTGACTCTTGGGAACGTGCAGCTCATGCCACAGGGCCTTTGGACTTGCTCCCCCATTTTGTGTAGGACATGCCTCCACCTTTTGGCAACTGATTACCTCCTGGGCGTTCCTCAGAGCTGGGCTCAAAAGCCCTCCACCTGCACGCTGCACGGCTTGTCAGTTACCATCCCCAAGGACTCCCTTCCCATCCAGCCCACAAGGCAGGGCCTGTATTCACTTGCCCCAGGCTTTCCTACCACAGTGCCCGGAGCCTAACACGTTTAGTTAATGGTTGTTGATTGGATAAGTGGAAATGTTTCATGGGCCCAGAGCTGTAGCCTCCAAATATCTAGGATGACCTGGCATCCACGCGGGCAGGAATATGTACAGATAGTGGTCCTTGAAGGCTTGTTCCATGAACAGCACAAGTTCAAGAGTGTGTGTGTGAAGGGCTCAGACAGGGGTCCCACAGCTCACTCTGGGCACAGTGATTTGTTCACAGACACACACTCAGAGCATTCCAGGTGTGCAATATTGCATCTGGACCCTGGAGAGGGTCTCACCCCAACACACACACACACACACACACACACACACACACACACGGACTTGCTATTATCTCCTGGATGTAACATTCGACCAATGCCACCATGCAAGCAGTAGCAGGTGCCTGTGGATCTAGGATGGGAGCTCGAAAAGGAGATGGCCAGGCACACAGGAAGTCACAGTGGGGCCAAGGGTGAGGGCACCTGAGGGGAGAGATGATGGGTAGCGTGAGAGGGAGTCAGATCCCAGCTTGGGGAGCGAGTGTCCAGTGGTTGGCCCCAGCTGACCCCGGGCCCTCTGACCGAGCCTCTTGCTTCCTCAACCAGGTCAATCGTGGGCATCCCGACCTGCGAGGCCCTGGTGCGGCTGCAGCCCAGGCAGAGCTACACCATTTATGTGCGAGCCCTCAACGTGGGGGGCCTGAGCATGAGGAGCGAGCCTGCCACGGTCCACACCACAGGTCTGTGTTCCAGGCCAAACCCTCCCTGAAGGGCTCCTGGAAAGAGCTGTCTTCCTTGGGGGAGTTTGGGGGAAGGCAAACAGGCAAAAGCGTGGATGTATGCATGGCAAGTCAGGCCTGGTCGAGACTCAACGGCAGCCAAATCCCTGAGTGCCCATCTCGCACACGGGGAGACGGCAGGTCTGCATCGCACAGCAATTTGATGACTGAGTCCAGCACTGGAACCCAAGGTCTTCCTCTATGCCCCTCAGGTGGACTAGAGAATGTGCATCTGGATGGCTCATCTCAGGCAGGGACAGGTTCTTGGCGACATCCCCAGGGAGCAGCCATTGGCCTGTTCCTGCCACGAGCCAGACGCCACCCCAGCCCAGAGGTCCTGCTCAGAGTTGCTGCCTCGCTTTCCTCAGCCCTTCCTCCTCCTTGTGCTGGAACCATCCATCCCATGCCCAGGCCTTGGACTAGCAGAGCCATCACCAAAAGCCTCCCACACGCTGCCCCAGCTCCCCCAGAGTGTACCTGGGTCCGGTGGCTCTTCCCACACCTTACAGAGCAAATGTGTAGCAAGTGTGACTTGCAGGGGACCAGCAGAAGCAGGGAGCTGACCTCAGCTGTGACCAGAGATCTGGCTCAGAGAAGTCTCATGTCATCCTGTCCTCATTTCCCATGCCGGGAGGATCAGGCCCCACACAAGCGGGAGACACAAGGGAGGCGGTCGCCTTTGGTTCCACTGTTGGCTGGGTTGTCCCCCAGGATGAGGTCGTGGTCCTTCTGCTTTCCTGTGCTGACTCAGCTGTTGGATTCACCAAGCCCGGGGCGCACGTAGCAGGTCCAGTGGCTCCTGATGAATCAGGTTGTCTTTGAACTAGTCTGCTCAAATGATTTTTTAAAAGAGTGTCTTCATGGGAAATGCAAATGAATGTGAATCAACAAAAGCAGATATCCTCAGCTTCAATGCTTGTCTGGGATGAGGACAGGCGGGCAGGCAGGCGCAGGTGGGCCCTGTGGCATGTTAGGGGTGGGATGACGTGGGATCATACACCCCAGAGAATGACTGAGCCTTCCAGCAACAGCAGACTTGGCAGAAGGGGGCCGCGGACAACTGTGAATGCCTGTACTAGGGTTTCAGATTTTTATTTATTTCCATTTCAGTTGAAAGGTACAGTGATAATGGGGAGAGACAGAGACAAATTCGAAGAGATCTTTCATCTCTTCTGGTTCATTCCCTGAATACCCACTACAGTCAGGGCTGGACTGGGCTGAAGTCAAGGGTCCAACTCATCAAGGTCTCCTCTGTGGGTGGCAGGGGCTCAAGCAGCTGAGCCATTGTATGCTGCTCCCCAGGTGTGCATTAGCCAGAAGCTGATTTGGAAGTAACGGCAGACTCTAACCAAGCACTCCCGAATGGGACATGGGTGCCCCAAGCAGTGGCTTAACTCGCTGTGTTACTGTGCCCATCCTGGAACTAGGATTTGAGACCATAAATGATGAGACGGGATGCGGCTAAGAGACATTAGGGGACAGTGAGTTTCTGTGGTGAAGTAATGGATTTTGCTTAACTAAATCATCTTTGTCAGGTCTTTTCCTTACCATTTATTGATGGGTTTTGTTCTACTACAATTTGGGGAGGACTCTAATCCCCTTCTCCCCCATGGCCCTAGCTGCAGGTGCAGTGCTGCGCTTTGGACTTCCCTCCATCCCCGTATCCCTTGATCAGCAGATTAGAAATTGGCCCCCTCACAGGCACTTGCAGCCCCTGGCATTGGAGGGCTCTGAGGTTCCCCTCTGAGTCCTGCCACTTACCAGCTGATTCCAAACCACATGGGCCCACCTTTCCTCCTCCACAGGACAGGAGGCATACCCTCTGTTTCCGGAAATACCAGTGAGGATTGAACGGGAAAGCTTGGAAACTGCTCCAGTCAGCGCTGGCCACACCAGCCTGCCTGCTGTGTGGCGAGTGTCATCCTTGTCCCTAGGGCAGTTTTGACTGTGCAAGGCCCAGTTCATGTGTGTTCCATAGGAAGCCGAGCCCAGCGACACCTGCGTGAGAAGCAGGGGAAGGGTTGCAGAAAGGTGGTCTCCCATGTGATCCTTCCCCCCACAGGAAGTTACTTTCACCTTAACAAGGACACCTGCCACCCTTGTCTGACCATTTCTGAAGACGGATTTACGCTCACGCGAAGTGAAAGGAAAGCCTCGACCAGGGAGGTGCCAGCTAGCAGCAACATTCGGTTCACCAGGTACTTTGTTTTCCTTTTAGATTTAGTTCATGGACCAGTGACATGGCATAGCACATAAGCTGCCATATAAGGTGTCAGCATCCCATACGGGCTCTGGTTCAAGTCCTGGTCACTCCACTTCCCATCCAGCTCCCTGCTGGAGGATGGCCAAGATGCTTGGGCCCCTGGCTGTCCTCAAACGGAAAAACCTACAGGAAGTTTCTAGATCCTGACCCAGTCCTCACTGCTGTTGGGAGATCTGTCCTTACCTCTGTCTGTAACTCTGCCTTTCAAATATTGTTAAGAATTTATCTCACTTTTATCTGGAAGGTAAGAGAGAGAGAGAGAAAGGGAGAGTGTGTGCTTCCATCCCTAAAATGGCCTCAAAGGCTGGAGTCGGGTCATATTGAGGCCAGGAACTCCACCCATGGCCAGAGTTCTTGGACCATCCTCCGCTGCTTTCCCAGGCTTAGCAGCAAGCTGGAACAGCAAAGACTCAAGCCAGTGCCCATGTGGAATGCCAGTATCAGACAGTGACCTCCAGCTTCCCAGTCGGTGTAATGGAAGTCCTTAGTGGGTTCATTTTCAAGGCAGGAGTGTTTCCTAAGGTAGAAAGCAAGCCTCTTGAGAGGGCCTCTAGTGGGAAAAGGTAAGCCATCTTCACTCTTGTGGCCGGCTCTTCCTCTGGCCTCGTCACTGCAGTGAGCGCCCACTGTCCCTGAGTGTCAGTGTGAGGCTGCAGGAACAGGGGAAATCAGCTTTATCCACCCCCTTCTCTGCCCACAACGGGGGGAACAGATAGCAAAGGTGGAAGTTAGCCAAGTGTCACCCAGCTCTGCAGCAATTCTTCCCAGGGACATAGGGGGGTATGCCGTCTGGCTGATGGAGGAAGAAGTCTCCTGAAGGCAGACCACTCATTCACTCTGTGAGATCTCGACATGATTGAGTCCCAGTGCAAACCTTGTTGTTGAACAGAACATAATGCTGACCTTTAGCACGGTGACTGCTCCTGATGGAGACTACAGACTGGGATGATGGGTGAAGCATCTGCTGTCTCACTCTTCCTGGGCTGACCTCTAAATTCTCATATAAGGCTTTCCTCCAGGCTGGCTCTGTGTCGTCGGCTGGCCAGTTCTTAAACCTCAAACATATGCATGCCCTTGACTGTGCTACCCCATAGGAGTTTTCACTCCTCTTTCCTGGAAGAAAGTGAGGGGCTGGCATTGTGACATAGTGGGTAAAGCCACCACCTGTGATACTGGCGTCCCATTGGGGTGCCCATTGGGATTGGGTCCCTTGCTAAGGATGTGGGAAAAGCAGCAGCAGGTGGCCCAAGTGTTTGTACTCATGGGGGAGACCCAGATGAAGCTCCTGGCCCTGACCAGGCCTGGCTGCTATGGCCGTATGGGGAGTATTCGATCACTGGACAGATGATCTCCTTGGTTAGGGTCTCCTCTAGCAAGCAGTTGTAGCCATCCTCTTCCTGTCAGCCTCTGCAAACAGCCCTGAGAGTTGAGGGCGCTTTACAAGTGAGGCCCAGAAGCACCTACCTCCATGTTTACATACCACCTACTGACTGACCACAGCAGGTGGTGTGGCCCACCTGTGCAGCCAGATGTAGGGCACTGCAAGTCACACACGTTTTTCCCTTCTGACCCAGGTGTGCTGCGGTCCTGGGGAACCTGATCCCAATCCGAGGACGCCACTACTGGGAGGTGGAGGTGGGCGAGAGCTTGGACTACATGGTCGGTGTGGCCTTGGAGGAAGTCCCCAGGCACGAGGACCTGGGTGCAAACCGCCTCTCCTGGTGCATGCGGCACACGTACACATCCTTGAGGTACAGGCCAGCTGGGGTGACCGGGATGAACACCTGCTTCACAGAGATGAGACAAGAGGCTTTTCACCAGAGAGGGTTAGGGACCCCACTGGGTTTTCTGAGATCATTCTAAGATATTTCAGGGGTTAATGCCAGCTACTCTCTAAGTCTGAGTGAGGAGAGAATTCACAGAGGGTTTGTTCTACACCTTTCCTTGAATTACCTTGCTGACTCCTCAGAATTGTTCTGCCACTTTAAGAAGTCAGCTACTTCTCACAGCAGCTAGTGTGCACCTCAGGCTGGCCTCACAGCTGTTCTCAAACACGGGCACTGCAGCTGCGAAGACAACATTGCGAACCACCATGTGCCGATATCTCAGCGTGCTCCTATGCAGGTGCATTGATCTGAAGCCTCCATTCTATCCTCTGAAACAAAGGTGGGCAGGATGCTGCAGTGGTTACAGCCAGCTCTGGTCTGCTCACAGGGCTGAGCACGTTATTATGTGTACATGTGAGAACAGTCCTGACCTGGGGATAGTCTCAGGAAACCAGGCAACACACACCTCAAGACAGCAGGCCTCGGCTCCAACCTGCGATGTTTGTAACACAAACCCACACTGGTATTCTCACACCCGTAGTAGCACGGGATCTCCGACCCTACTTGGCTTGGTGTCTTACTATTGTGCATCCCTCTGCCTGTGACCCTCATTGTGGTTACTGACACATTGTTTAAGTGGGAAGACCCACCTGCAGCAAAAGGTTTAGACCAGAATGAGTTCTAATCAGTGTCACCACAGTTTGACAATACCAGACTTACCACATGCAGAGCCAGATACCTTCCCTGGAGGATTCTGAGATTACATATCAGTTTCCTTAGAAAGATAAGAACAGCAGCTAGAACACAACTCAGAGATCAACATAAAGGAAGCAGGGGCACCTGTGTGTGGAGATTAGAAGGGGGCAGAAACCTGAGGTGGAAGAGTGACAAAGGGCAGGCAGAAGCAGCAGGAGAGCGAGAGCCTGGGTGTGACGTGGTGCCCTCAGAAGGATGCAGTCACAGAATCAGGGCATGATGTCCCAGGCCGGTTTCTGCTGGCCACCTGGTAGGTTTTGGTTCATGGTGTGGAATGTCATGGCTGGTGAGAGGCGGGCCTGGCAAGAAGAGCAGCCCGAGGATGGTGAGCTGGCTTGTTCCACTTGTCCAGATCCTATTCTATGAGCTCCTGCCGAGCACAGGTCAGCATGCTGGCACATAGCTCTTCAGATGCCAGTCGGCGCTGGCTTCAGCCGCAGCCATTTCACAAAGCACACAGGACATGGAGCACGGCTGAAAGGTGCTAGCCAGGTGCTGTGTACTAACTGGTGGCAAGTCCACTGGATGACTGGTCTGCTGGAAAGGTTAAGAATTGGATGCCCTGGAATAATGGTGCCCAGAAGAACTTATTCCAAAAGACCCATGTTATCGCAGGAGAGATCACGGGGCTAGTTCCCATCAGCTTTATCACAAAGGCTGCTATCTCTGAGCCCCAGGTCTGAATTTTAAATACATGTTCTGCTGCTCCACTGAATCCAATAAGCTAAGGGTTCAGGACACAGTGTGCCAAGTTTGCCAAGAAGTTGCTCAGCAACAGGGTTGGCAAATGTTGCTCCTTAGGGCAAATTCCAGACAGCTCATCTACAGACTTTCTGATCTATCCTATCAATGTTTAATTCTCAGGCATAAGTATGAATTTCTACACAACAGGACAACTCCAGATCTCAGAATAACAGTGCCCCCGAAGACAGTTGGCATCCTACTGGACTACGAAAATCCCAGGTTGTCCTTTTTCAACGCAGACATTGCTCAGCACCTCTACTCATTCAGCTGTGAGCTCCGCCAATTTGTACACCCCTGTTTTTCTTTGGAGAAACCTGGGTGTCTAAAGATACGCAACGGTATCCCAATACCTAGGCATGTCACTTTCTACTAGTCTCCTATCGCTCCACTGTGCCTCCTGACTCCTGGCACCAGATTGGCTCAGCACCAGCTCTATTGCAGCCGCTTGGGGAGCGAACCATCAGACGGAAGATCTTCTTGTCTCTCCTCCTCTCTGTATATCCACCTTTCCAATAAAAATAAATAAATCCTAAAAAAAAAAAACAAAAAACAAAAAAAACAAGGATGGACAACTGGAAGAGACATTTCTCAATACATATGAATGGCCAGAAAGCATTCTGAAAAAAACGCTCAAGACCACCAATCATCAGGAAAATGAGCCCAAGCCACGGGAGCTAGCATCTCCCCCAGCAGAATGGCCATCGGAGTGTGAGTCCCCCCGGGGGGGCGGGGGATGCAGATAAGGGGGAACCCCACAGAAGGCTGGCGGAAATATAAACTGCATTGCCAACAGTTTGTGGAGTTCCCTCAGAAAACTGTAACAGCACCACCGCCCTGGGAGCCCTCCACCTGCTGCTGAAGGGAAACCGAAGGGAACGGAATGCACCTGCCAGAGACAGATGTACTCTGCTGCTCTGCTCATGATTCTGCGATGCAGAGTCAACCGAGATGTCCATCAGCAGATGAAGCAGTAGAGAAATCCGGTCTACTACACAATGCAATGTCATCTGCAGTAACACGGATGAAACTGAAGGACAGTGAACTAGTGAGATAAGCCACAGATAAATACCATATATCCCTCACTTGTATGTTCTCAAAGTAGAGAATAATAGAAAGTTTGGGCAGAGTATCAGGGAGGGAGGGGGAGAGAGAGGGTGGTCCAGGACTGCAGGGGAGCAGGTAGTGAGCACGCAACGCGGTAACTGTGTAGAAAGGATTGAGTGTCTAACACAATGAAATGAAAACTGACAGGAATCCCAGTAAGTATGGTGCACGTGTGCAAAACACCACACAACACCCCACAAACACAAACAACTATTCTGGGTCAATTAAAAATATATTTTAAAAATGGTCTTGTTTTTCCAGCACATTCTGACTCACCAGAACACCTCTCTTCCATCTCCTACCACGCTCTGCTTCTTGGTGCAAACAGCAGCTCAGATTCCTGAGTTAACCAACCCTCCCCGCCCCTACCTCCACCCCCGGCAGCCTAGAATGCTCCCACACATGCGCATGCCCGCCTTGCCAAGCAGGGTCACTTCCTCTGATACAGTACTAATGTCGCAGCTGTGAGCAAAGAAATGGGTCCAGTTTTAACAAGACACATGTGTGTGCAGATTCAAATCTGCCCTCTGCTCCTGCCAAGCAGGAATCAGGGTATGGCAGAAAAGACAGGTTTCGATCAGGCTTTATGGAGTATTTCAAATGGAACACGGGTGAACAGCTAGAAACGCCACACCTGTAAAGTTTTCACAAAAATTTTATTTGACCAAGAAAACACGGTCTAGAACTGTCAGACGTGAAGACCCACTTAATTCAGATAAGGCAGATGACCAATTTACAGCATGACAACTTTTTAGTATAAAGAACCTTTATTTAAACATTTTTCTTCTCTTCTACAAAAAGAAAGCACAAGTCTAAAACAGAACCAAACAAAACTTTATTTTTTGTCACATACTCCAATCCCGTCAAACCCCAGCAAGCTGCTGCTGAAAGAGGGGGGCAGGGTTTACCTTACGAAGGCCGTGTTCACCTGAGACCTGCTGACACATCTGCCAAAACAGAAACATTTTTAAAAAATCAGAACTTTGTGATAATTCCTGAGAATGGGCAGTTAGAAAAGAAAGTAAAATAAAAAGCAGCTGTCAGTCCCTGTTCTTCCCTGAGATGTACCACTAAGGACAACACTGCGTAAGCTCCGCCTTCCCCTTCCCAAGGCAGAAATGGAGCACGGCATCAACCACAGGGTCTTGTGTAGGCTAAAACAAAGTGACTTCCTTCCTGTTGAAGGTGGGGACAACACATGTTCACTTGTGCATATCCAACAGAATATTCCCGAAGCTCTGGTCATCCACAGAGGGCAGCGAGGCCTTTTGCCTCCTGCCTCTCCTGCTCCGGAACGTGCTGCGCTTCTCAGCTCTCACACCCAAGTTGCCCACAGCCCAGGGCTCTAGGAGATGGCGTCCTGGAAGCCAGGCTGGTCCCAGGCAGGGAGGAAGGACACTGGACATCTCTGGGATCCACGAAGACCGCAGCCCGGAGCAGCCCTCTTTCTCCACTCACCTCCAGTTTCTAGTTACCTTCCTATTGGTTATCAGAGTAAAACGCTCGCAACCCCACAATTCCAACCTTTAAAGACACAGCTGCTTTCCGTGTACCAAAACACCAGAGCAGTGTACACGTGGCTGTTGGTAGATAAGTAGGTCTTGAAATCACTTTGCCAACAAGACCTGTTCTATCTACCTTTTCATTTAGGAGGCTAAAGGCAGAGTCAGCTCGACTTCAAGGACTCTGTTTTCTTAGTCTCCAGAAGAACCTGACCAAGTCTGGTTTTCACAACACGGTCCGTGAACGTTAAGGTATTACAGGGACCTATCACCTTAGGCTTAGCGAGATCTGAACTCCTGACATAACCACCTTAAATGGAAGAGTGTCATCTGAGATGAAAATGGACAGCCCGTGTCTTCCCCGTCACTAAGAATTCTCCAGAAAGAGTGTGACCATAACCTGTGACTATGACCACTCATTATTTTGGAGTTGTGATAGGACAGCTGCTGGTGTCGTTCAGACCATCACAGTGGACTGTTTCACGGCTTGTTTTCTGCTGTCACCAACTTCCCTCCAATAAAACTCATTTTTCTTCATTTTCTTTGTTTTCCCCAGATTTTGAATCAGGTTTTTCTATTTTCACGCATTCAAATCCTGGTAGACTCAAAGTATTGTTTAACTGTGCAAAATAAACCGCTTGCAGTAGGTTCAAACAGCAGGCAGCTGCACGGACACAGCAAACGAGAAGGCTCTAGCAGCATGAACTTCAGCTCTAACCTTGCCCTTTCCCACATCTGTCACTTAAGAAATGCCGGAAGAAATGTCCTCAGGTTCAGACTGGACAGGAATACAAGACACTGATTGGGAAACACCAGTCGGTAACACCGAAGCACCTTCCCAGCTGTGCACATCAACAAGGCACAACGGAGCTTTTTTAGAGATGGGTTCACTCAGTACATTTGTTACTTCTTGGCAAAATCATCTATTACTCTGCCTCCCAGAAAGACCCCTACCCTCCCACTGCCTTCCACATCCCAAGCACGAATTAAAGCAAGGAGGAAAAACAAGCCACTCCATCGAGAAGGAGGGCCAGCACTGTGGAGGGAGGCGTGAAAAGTGCCTGATGCTGGCTTCCAGGCTGTTCACGGCTGCACGCGGCCACAGCTGCCTAGGCACTCCAGGCAGCCTGCTGCCTCCTTATCGTTCCAGTGCCCGAGGAGCTCAAAAATCCCCTCCTGGAAGCACGAAGTCTTCCTCTCCAGGCCAAGTGCCGCCCACTCACCTTTCAGACACCAAGGATATCCAGCGACCCCGGGGCTTGTTTCTGCTTCACCTGTAGGGACCTCTGAATGGCCAGAAACGACGCTCTGCTGCCAGGGGTCACACATCTACAAAGAAGATGGACGTGCAATTACGCTCCAGAGCAAAGCAAGCCTACTCATTCGACAGCAAACCAGCTCTCACACTGGTGCATGCTGGCAGGGGGTTAGAAGGGCAGCAACAAACAGACAGGTTACCCTCCCTTCTGCGTCTGGTCCGCTGAGGGGTCTGACACAGCTCCCACTGGTAAGAGAACATGGGCTGGGGGGGAAAGCCTTGCACTCTGGGGAGGGGGAGGATATACAGAACGTGCAGAATAGAAAAGGTGTGCTTTAGAACGTTCCTTTGGAACTTTCACACTCACATTTAGTATCTGTCACAGTTTTAACTTTCCCAAGAGCTCAAAGACCTACAACATGCACATTTCAGATCCTATGCTTGGTTCGTGTATCTCAGGCTGGGGCTGTAGGCTGCCCCCTTGGCCACCCTTATTGGCAGCCTAACCTCACCGTGGTTTCAGGTGGTTTTGGAATCTAAAACATTCACACAGCAAACTGCATATGACTTAAGCAAATGAAAAGCCTGAGAACTTACAGAACTTATGGGTCAAGTCCCATGTTTTTTTGTTTTGTTTTTAAAGATTTATTTATTCTTATGGGAAAGTCAGATTTACAGAGGAAAGATAGAAAGAGTTTCCATCTGCTGATTCACATGCCAAATGGACGTAACGGCCGGAGCTGAGTCAATCCGAAGCCAAGAGCTTCTTCTGGGACTCCCAAGTGGGTGCAGTGTTCCAAGGCTTTGGGTCGTCCTCGACTGCTTTCCACAAGCAGTGAGCTAGAAGGGAACTGGAGCAGCCGGGATACAAACTGGCACTCATATGGGATGCAGATGCATACAAGGTGAGGACTTTGTTCACTAGGCTATGGTGCTGGGCCCAAGTCATGTTTCTAAAAATCATTTTATGGGAACCCTTTCCTTACAAGTAATATAAAACAGCTAGAGCACCTCAGTACCTAACAGAAGCCCTTCTCTCCCAATTTAGTCTCTAACAGGGGGAAATCAAGTGGAGGAATCTGTTACTGGGATCTTGTGTTTTCGGAAAAGGTAACAGACAGATGGCTTGAATTTAAGAATAGCAGAATCCTACAGTCATTACAAATCCGAAACAAATGCTCCTAGTGCTTCAAAGCCTCCCCAGACAACCACACATTAACATCTTCCACGGGACTCTGCGTAAGGGATTTCTAAACACCATTTACCTATTTGCCTATCGAGTATAAACACAGAATTTGGTATGTTTTTGAGCAGATACTTCTTGGAGGGAAAAAAAAAAAAATCCTACAAGTTCTCAGAGAAAGGAGGCCAGGGCATGCTACTGGCTCCTGGCAGAGGCAGAACCGGGACAACAGGCTCCCCTAGGGGTGAGCCAAGCGCCAGTCCCAAAGCACTTAATCTTCTCGGCCCTCAACTCTAGGATGGGAAGAACAGACTGTACAGGTGGGACGTCGTCTGGGCCTGGAGCTGTACAACTCCTTGGAGAGCGCGACCATGCCTGACTGTGTTTAGGGTGACACCTCTACGCAGGTCACCATCACCTGCGGTAGCAGTCATGTGTGTCCATAACGGAAAGTGACTCTACATCACTCGCACAGGCCACCTGTTCTTAAACATGCTCCCTCTGACAGCCTCTGAGGAACAATAACAATACCAAGACACTAGTCGCTCATTTCCATTACTGAGCAGCACAATTCAACCAGAGGCTGAAAACTACTGAGTGTGTGCTTACATGTTCTTGTGTGTCAACACGGTTTCTCTGGGTAACGTGCCACACAGCAGCTCTCCAGAGTTCTCAACAAAGTTTAAGGGGACCTTGAGATCACAGAACATTCATGGTTCCTCGTAAAGAAGAGCTGGTGGAATGAGCTGCTCTGTTGCAAAGATGGCCAACGGCTTTCAAGGCTGGGCAGATGTTCAGACTGCCTTCTGGACCTGTCCAGTGCTCACCCTTTCCTCACAGGCTTGCTACTTCCCGATAGCACACAGGCATTTACAGCAACGACGGAGAACTTTTCTCCTGTCAACGGCCACTGATTAAAGATACGGACAATATCACTCACAGGCCATACAAAATTATCAACTTAAAGCTTGGGATGGAAGCTGCCACTACGGCAGAGCCAGTGAACTCACTACCTCCAGCTCTGGCATCCCATTCAGGCACCAATTCAAGTCCTGGCTCCTCCACTTCGAACCTAGCTCCCTGCTAATGAGCCTGGGAGAGCAGCAGAAGATGGCTGAAGTCCCTGGGCCCCTGCACCCACGTGGGAGACGTGAAAGACGCTCCTGGCTTCAGGCTTTGGGCCAGACCATCTGGTGAGAGAACCAGCGAATAGAAAATAGCTGTCTCCCTTTCTAACTTGGCCTTTCAAAAAAACTAAAAATAAATAATCAACTTGGTTTGCTATCAAATCACTGAGTTTCTTCTTTCTTTTTTTTTTTAATTTATTTTATTTTTATTGGAAAGGTAGATTTGCAGAGAGGAGAGACAAGAGGAAGATCTTTCGTCCACTGGCTTACTTTCCAAGTGGCCACAATGGCCGAAGCTGCGCCAATCTGAAGCCAGAATACAGGAGCTTCTTCTGGGTCTCCCACACAGGTGCAGGATCCCAAGGCTTTGGGCCGTCCTCACCTGCTTTCCCAGGCCACAAGCAGGGAGCTGGGAGCAGCCAAGATACAAGCCAGCACTCATATGGGATCCTAGCGTGTGCAAGGTGAGGACTTAGCCACTGAGCCATCGCATCCGGTCCATATTTACTGAGTTTCAACTTCCACCTGAAATTGCCTTGGCAGGCCTGGACCGAATGATGTCATATTGGATGTTCCTCACTCGACTGATGGCACAAGAAAGGCAACAGCAGACATACAACGCATTTAAAGAGCCTAAGCACCAAGTGCAATAGTAAGACCACAGCTGAGAGCGAGTCTCGCACAGAGGCTGGCCCCTGGGATATGCACACCCCGCACCAGAGTGCCTGGCTTGGGTTCCTGCTGACACAGCCCCGGTCCCAGAGTCCTGCCACCACCACCACTAGCCTCCCTTCTTCCTGCAAGCATGGTTTGAGTTCAAAGCCCTGGCTTTTAACCCAGCCCCGACCTGGCTGTGGCAGGTCTCTGAGGAGTGACTCAGCGACCAAAGACCCCTCTCTCCCAGTAAAACGAAAACAAATGCAAAGCTTAAGGGAAAAACAGGGGGGCGGGGGGGGCTGTAGTTAAAAAATACAGCAAAGGTTCGACTGCAGAGAAATTTAGGTAAAATTTCACAAGTCCTTCTATCACATAACCATAGCGCACGCTCAGAATCAGCGGTCAGCTCTAAGTCTTCTGCAGCCAGCCTATCAGAGCCTTTCTTTGTAATCTAGGTAACAAAGCTTCATCTTTTTGACACAGACACTGCTGGAGTGGACACAGCAGGGGCACAGGTGGAATCGGGGCTTTGGCTCAACATGCTAATCCTCTACCCCCTAGTGTCGGCATTCCACAGGATCTTCGGTTCGAGTCGCAGCTCCACTTCCCATCCAGCTCCCTGCTTGTGGCCTGGGAAAGCAGTCGAGGACGGCGCAAAGCCTTGGGACCCTGCACCCGCGTGGGAGACCCGGAAGAGGCTCCTGGCTCCGGATCGGCTCAGCTCCGGCCTCTGCAGTCACTTGAGGAGTGAACCAGCGGATGGAAGATCCTCTCTGTAAATCCGCCTTTCCAGTAAAATAAATAAAGCTCAAGAAAAAAGCAACAGCACCAGTCTCCCCATCCCCTCCTACATCGGACTGTCCTTGAATGGGTTCACACTGCCCCAAATCCCACCAGCTCCTTCCCTCCCAAGCTCCCAATACCCACGCGCGGACACACACGAAGGAGCGCACCCCATCCTGGACCACAAAGGCAGGCGTCGGCGCCGAGCCGCTGCCCCGTCCTCTCCTGTGTGCAGCCTCGTCCTCCCGCCAGTCACCCCCGCAAGCGGCCGCCTCGGGATAGGGCCACCGGTCAGGCCCTCACGGACACGGCCTAGCACCCTCTCCGCGGGCGCCCGAGCCGGGCGGCGATTACCCCCACGCAACACGCTCGGCCAGCCGGAGGCAGCCATTCTCCCTCCTCCCTTTCCGCCTCCCCGGGGCCTGGAGAGGAAGTCCCGCCCCCCGGCGCGGTAACGGGCCGCGCGAAGAGGGACCGCGCATGCTCGGAGTGGAGGGCAGGGCCGCCTCTGCCGGGATGACAGGGTTCCCTCATGGACCCTAAGCGTGGGCCAAAGCTGACGATCCTCCCCTGGCCGACCCGCATCTCTCCGGGGACGCCTTCATGCCGCGGCGGACGACCCCAGGGGCCCTGGCTGCCCAGGTGGCGGCAGCTGCGCCTTGTTTTGGTCTCTCCCGGCCATCTCCGTCGCCCCCATGGTTGTCCAGCTTCCCTAGCTTTGGCCCCAGCTCGCAGCTGCTGGAAGCACCACCACGGGTCCACAGGGGAAGGAACGACGGCCTCCATCACCCCGGCCCGAGCGCGCATCAAGGGTCCCAGTCCTGAGGGGAAGGCCCACCCGATTCCAGGGTGAGCTGCTCATGGTTGACTACGCTGTCATTTTGTCAAATCTCCTGGAAGGACACTCGTCTGTAAGTGGGGTGACACTTGGCAAGCCAGTACAGCTGTCAACGCTCTTTAAAAGTCAGTTAATGCAGCAGGCACGATGGCTGAGTAGCTAAATCCTCACCTTGCATGCGCTGGGATCTTCTTTGGGCACAGATTCCTGTTCCGGCTGCTCCACCAGCTGGAACCTGTGGCCTGGGAAAGCAGTTGAGCAAGGCCCAAAGCCTTGGGACCCTGCACCCATGTGGGACACCTGGAAGAAGCTACTGGCTCCTGGCTTCAGATCGACTCAGTTCTGGCCATCGAATGGAAGATCTTTCTCTCTGTCTGTCCTCTCTGCCTTTTCAATAAAAATAAATATATGTTTTAAAAGTCAGCAAGCCAAGAGTGGAGAACGAAGCAGCCACGATACAAATGGATTCGTTTTGATCTGGGAAGGAACATAGGGCTGCTGTCTTCAAGGAGTTTCTCCAGCACCAAGGGCAGAAGACACACTGTGGACAAGAAAGCGCAGGCTTGTGCAGAAAGTATTAGAGTGGGGTGGGGGTTGGGCTTGACTGCTGTCTGGGAGCCGGGACTGAGATGCAGGTGCATGCAAGGTGAGGACTTTAGCCACTAGGCTAACGCGCCAGGCCCTAGATACTTATTCTTACCTTTAAATCCTAAAAGATTATCTCAGTTGTTTCCACTTTGCGGAATTTGTGAATAAAACTCGTAGGCCCGGCGCGATAGTGTAGTGGTTAAAATGCTCTCCTTGAACGCACCAGGATCCCAAATGGGCGCCGGTTCTAATCCCAGCAGCCCCCCCACTTCCCATCCAGCTTCCTGCTTATGGCCTGGGACAGCAGTCAAGGGTGGCCCAAAGCCTTGGGACCCTGCATGGGAGACCCGGAAGAAGCTCCTGGCTTTGGAGCAGCTCAGCTGCTTGGGAAGTGAACCATCGGTCTGAAGATCTTCCTCTCTGTCTCTCCTCTCTCCTCCTCTCTATATATAAATGCCTTTCCAGCAACAACAACAACAACACAAAAAACTGTAAACACCTACTTACAGGATTTTGTGTGGAGTTAGGTTAAAACCAAGGGCTGCCGAGTCAGTCCGCCTTCCAAAGTGGCTGTTTGCTTGTACATTTTCTTGCCCATGCTCACCACCGTTGGGTGCTTTTTGGCATTCTGGATTTTGGCCATTCTAGCAGAGGGGTGGTGATGTCTTGTGGCTTTCCTTTGCATTTCTCTGCCGACAGATGCTCTGGGATGTCTTTTTCATACATTGGTCTCCCAACATATTTATCTTCTCTGGTAAAATATCTAGAAGGATCTTTGGCCCATTTTTAGATTGTGTTGTTTTCTTTTTAACTTTTTTCCTTAAGTTTATTTGAGTTGTATTCACTTGCTGCACCAAGTTGGTGACAGCCTCCAAATCTGACTGAACTGCCAAAAGTATTCGTGGGGACTTGCTCTGTCTTCTGCGCTGTGCAAAGTTCTGGGTATGGATGAAGGAAATGTATAGCTGATTCATTTGTAGTAAGAAAAACAGACATTCAAATGAAGGATTAAGTGATGTTATTACAAATAACAGAAGGCTCCACTGGCAAATAGAAAACTGCCTATAAACACTGAGTTCTACAAGGAATTTAGGGGCATTTTAAGCAGAAGGTAGATTTAATTTGACTCAGGCGTGGGAAACAGTCAGAGGACCAACAGCAGCAGGGCTGTACACGGTGAGGCCCCGTGCACTCTGCTGGACAAGGCTTGCCAAGAAGGCAGCCTGGGCCACTGTTCAGATGTTTTGGAGGAGCAGTATAAACACAGTACAAATCCCGCTTTCATAATATTTACTCTCGTAGGAAAGGAGACATAATAAAAAATATATAAACAAATGTACTTCAGCTTGTAGAAAGGTAGAATTGGAAGTATTTTTCTGCAAAAAAAAAAAAAAAATCCATGTAGTTTTTTATGGTCAAAAAAGTTGTGGGAGCCTGGCACAATAGCGTAGCGGTTAAGGTCCTCACCTTGAATACACCAGGATCCCATATGGGCAATGGTTCTAATCCCGGCAGCCCCACTTTCCATCCAGCTCCCTGCCTGTGGCCTGGGAATGCAGAGGAGGAAGGTCCAAGACTTTGGGACCCTGCACCTGTGTGGGAGACCTGGAAGAGGCTCCTGGCTTTGGATTGGCTCAGCTCCAACACTTGCGGCCACTTGGGGAGCCAACCATCGGATGGAAGATCTCCCTCCCTGTCTCTCTTTGTATATCTGCCTTTCCAATAAAAAATAAATGAATCTTTAAAAAAAAAAGTTTGTGGAAGATATTATATTCTCAAAAGTATCCATGGTTTTCAAATGTTTTAATGTAAAGAAAATAGAGTTCATGTATTTCATATATAGACTTAAGCACAAAATATTTTCTACTCATGCTTTACCTGCCATCTTCCTTTCTTTCCTATTGTATCCTTCCATTTAAAAAAAATTTTTTTTTTAATTTAAAAGGCATATTTGCAGAGAGAGAAAGAGAGCTTCTGTCTGTTGGTTCACTCCCCAAATGACCACAACAATCAGAGCTGAGTCAATCCAAAGCCAGGAACCAGGAGCTCCCACATGGGTGCAGGGTGCCAAGGCTTTGGGCTATCCTTTGCTGATTTCATGGAGCAGATGGGACACAAACCAGTGTTTATATGGGATGTCATTGCCAAAGGCGGAAGCCTAGCCCACTATGCCATGGCGTCTACCCTGCAATTTTTACCAAGACATACTTCCAGTTTATTTTATAACAAGATTAATCCTCCACTAAATAAGGAAATAACCAAGAAGTAAGTAGAAAAACTGCTATTCCTCAAGGGTAGAAAAAAGGACTCTAACAAACTGTGTTGTTTTCTCATTGCTGCATTAAAAGGTTTCTTCAGTTAAGAGAACAGTTTTGTATCAGGTGTATTTTCTGAAAATGTGGTGAACTACTCTGTGGTTCATCTTTTCACTCTCCTGAAATCGCAGAGCAGAAGTTTTTCATTCTAAGAGACACAGTGTATCAATTATTTCATGGATCATGACTTCAGTGTTACATCTCATAGTCATCCCCACACGCAAAAGCACCTAGACCTTCTGTTCCTTTTTCTCGTTATTATTTGTTATCATTGTAATTATTTGAAAAGCAGAAAAAGAAGAGTGAGCTTCCATCTGCTGGTTCACTCCCCAAATGGCCACGACACCTAGTGCCGGGCCAGGCTGAAGCCAGGAGCCTGGACTCCATCCTGGTCTGCCACATGGATACTTAGGACGTTAGTGTTTGAGCCACTTGTTGCCACTTTCCGTTAGCAGGGAGCTGGGTCAGAAGAGGAGCAGCCAAGAGTACCCAAACTGGTACCCGTATGGGATGCTGGCATTACAGGCAACAGTGTAATATCAGCCTCCCAGCTCTACTTCTAATTCTTATCTTTTTATAATGCGTCCACTGGGAGGCGCCTGGTGATGAGTTAAGTGAGTTCCTGTCACCAACATGGCAGACCTGGATTAAATGTCCCCAGCTCCTGGCTTAGGTTTGGCCCAGCCTCGTCTATGGCAGGCATTTACATAAAAGTCCATGGAACTCCAGGTTCCTGGTTTCAGCCTGACCCCTACCCTAGGAGAGCGAATCAGCAGACAGAAGCTCTGTCTTGGTCAGCCTCTGCCTTCTGCATAAAATGAAAATGAATAAAGTTGTTTGTGTTATTTTGCTGTGTACTGATTTTGAGGGTTTTTCTCAAAGATTTTTTTTTTTAATTGGAAAATCAGATACACAAAGAGAAAGAGAGACAGAGAGGAAGATCTTCCGTCCGTTGATTCACTCTCCAGGTGGCCACAATGGCCAGTGCTGAGCCGATCTGAAGCCAGGAGCCAGGAATCCCTTCCGGATCTCCTAGGAGAGTGTAGGCTCCCAAGGCTTTGGGTCTGCCTTGACTGCTTTCCCAGGCAACAGGCAGAAAGCTGGCCAGGAAGCAGGGATGCTGGGACACAAACTGTCGCCCATATGTGATCCCAGTCTGAGCAAGGTGAGGACTTTAGCTGCTAGGCTATCTCACTGGGCCCTGACTTTTAGTTTAAAAAATAGTGCACAAAAGCATTACTTGAGTACTGAGTTTTTAGCACCCCTTTAACAAAGCAGTATGCCCAATGCAAGCACCAGGGTCTTTTTGCTAGATATCTGCTGGTCCTCTAACTGCCCTAAATCTGATCCAGACCTAACTTTCAGGCTTGTAACTTCCTTCTGGGACATTCTAAGAAACAAAAGTGATGACCTATAGGCACGTGGTGCTCATGAGGCTTGCAGGCATGAGGCAGTGAAGCCAACCACTATGCACAGCAGTGTCAAACCCTGGATGGTGCCAGGCATCCCTGGGGGAGAGTGTGGAGGCTCGCCAGGTTTGATCTGTGTTTACGTGTCTCCTGCGTCACTGTGGGTAGGAAAATGATAGGGGAGTCATTAAAGAGAAGAAGCTCTGACATCAC